CAATGCAAGATGCACTTCGCAAAGATAAAACTGGTATTACCTTGACCTTCAATGGTTGGACTAATGTGAAAAATGAATAGCTATTAGGAGTAATACTCATTACATCAGACGGAAAACCATATGTGTAGAAGGCTACTGATATTAGCTTGAAAAGAGAATCTCATATTAATGTTATGGAAAAAACAAAAGTGATGATCAATGAATTGAAAAATGTAAATGTCAACTTCTCTGCGGTTGTTACAGACAGTGCAGGCCCATATGCGGCGTCCAGATATTTTTGTTTTATTTCTTCATTATTTGATCAATAACAAGGGAAAAGGCACTCCAATCATATAAAATTTATATGATTGGAGTGCCTTTTCTATTGGCATCACTCCTTTAATCTATCTTTTATTTATTTTTATATTAATATTAAACGAAGATTAAGAATCGTTTATAGAAACATTATATTCTTACCTTGTTATATACACCAGCTAAATTTATGTATAGGTGAAGTCTTTAAAGTATCAACAGACCTAAAAACTACAATGGATCAAGCAATATGATTAGCTGCTTATTTTAAAAATGCGAGAAATAAATACTTTATCGCACAACTACGTAATCAACAAAAAAAAACTTATAATAAGTATTATGAGATAGCGATTCCGAGAAAGACCAGGTAGAATAGTTACTATATAGTAGCAACTTGTCTTTTAAAAACTAAACGAGCATTGCAGGTAAATAAAATGCATTAAAATACTCAGATCAAATTTAGAATACTAAATTTGATCCAAATGAATTAGCCAGGGCAACCACCAAAAGTGCAAGTTTTATAATAATGCACAATTTATTAATCAATTCATTAGTAATTGTGCATTATTATAAAATCATCACATGGTCCACACTTTTGGTGGTCACCCTGGCTAATTCTGATCCAAATATTCTACAATTTCAAGAATACATTCACTTTGCACTTTTTTTTTTATTTTATTTTTATAGATACTTGCGCTCAACCATCAGCCATTATATTTCCAAAGTGGGCAAAAAACTGGAACTGGAGAAAATCTAACAATTCATCGTGAAATTTTTGATATTATTAACTCAAATTATTTTTGGTCGAATTTGATGATAATTGCAGAAATCCTATACCCTTATTGCAAAATATTAAATACTTTGCAATGCAACAATGCGAGATTAATTTATGTTATACACGGTCTTGCATATTTAGTTCAATTTTGGAACAACTACACTAACATGCAACTTGCTGAAAAAATTTTGTATAAGTTAGACAAAAGATGGAATAATTAGGAGCAGCCTCTTTTAATCTTGGCGTGCTTATTATATTCTAAGTATCGAACAATATATTTTAAAAATAAATCAGTTATTAATTATTCAAAATTAGGAAAATACCTGATTTATTATTATAAAGCCTGGTTTAATGAAGAGCCCACCTGTATCTTACGTGAATTTAATGATTTCTCCCTGGGAATCTATCCATTCGATGATAATTCTTATAAGCACTTTGGTGATATTTGGAAATATTGGAGTTATGCTAAGTCTTCGACGAAGGAATTGGGGCTAGTTGCTTGTCAGTTATATGGGGTTTGTATTAATGCGGCTATAGTTGAACGCCTTTGGAGTAGCATGGGCTTCCTACAAACAGACTGAAGAAATAGATTAATTGTGAATATCTATATTTAATTTTTATTACCATATTATCTCGAAATAACACCCAGGTGTGTAGTTTAAAATTTTGGCCTGAATTTAGGCCAAAATTTTAACCACCCTCGGCGTTATTTCAAGATAATATAGTAATATTTTTTTGATATTTTGATATTAATTTTTTTTCTTTTTCTTATATAGTCATCAAAAGCCTTCGATATGTATAAATTAAGGGCAGCTATTTTATGGGGACATGCAAAAAGATTAGATTCTGTTGAACTGTATCTGCCCACTCTTCTAAATAATAATGACAATCAAATGGATATTCATCCCGAAGAACATAGAAAATTTGATAGTGGTGAGTTTGAGAAATCTAGTGAAATTGAACCAAGACCCGAAGAATATGATAATCTTACTATGGATGAAGACCTTGATGATGATGAATCGCCTAATTTTGATTCTTTACAAGAGAGGTTTGGGGAGTTTTTGGACGTATGGGTAAAGATATCGGCAAATAATGATGAAGAATTTGCTGATACTGATAAAGAAGATGATGATGATGAAATGATTTCCTCCACGATTGAAGATATTACTCATTCAGCATTGGATTCCGCTGCTAAATAGGATCTAAGATCTCTTTTTAACAAATTACAATTACCTTAACTACAAAGCCCTATATGTTTACTAATTACTGTATAGCATTGCATTCTTTACCCTCCTAAAATAGTACTTACTAAATTAAAGTCTCTTGATTGTTATTAATATCAATTTAAGTTTGTGTAATTACTTTTGCAAATAAATATACTCCTACCTAAAAATCTTTCAAAATTCTTCCCTTTGGATTTTATCCCTTTTCTCATGCGATATCCCTGGGCACAAATCAAGTTAGATATATTTTTTGATTTGTATGGGTACTGAATGCAGCATTTCACAGTATGATTATATTCGAATTCTAGTCATACATAGAGTAAAACATTTCAAATTAGTGCAGTTAAAAGTATATTACAAATTATTTTACTATACAAACGATTTAAATAAAATATATAGTTTAACTTGGCGTTTAGATCTACGTATAAAACCATATAAGATAGCGCTAAATCGTATTTGTTAGTATAACGATACTTATAAAAATTATGCTACGTATACATGTTACTAGTAAAATAATTGGTTATGTTCGAAGTCTACCCATCTTTGGCTATGGACATGGATGATCTGTCCGGTCCTGGCCGGTTCATATGACATCACTGCAGATAATGTCCAAATGTTCGCACATCTTTGAAACATAGACGCGAACATCCAGTCTGGTCCGTGTCCATGTCCGGACCATGTCCGCATGACAACACTGCTATTACTACTTTAGACTTTTAATTAAATAATTATCCAATATGGATTATGCATTAATTAGATCTTGATTACTAATCACATAGGTACCACGTAGTCTCTGCGACAGTTATTGTTAATTAAAAACAGTCTTAAATATCGCATTCAATAAAAAACTGATTTGTTTAATTCAAGTGCTTTATAGCTCAATGTGATTTATTTTGGATCTATATCAAAAAAAAAGTTTTTTTTTCTTAAAGGCAAATGTATTTATTTTAAGGTTTCAAGATCATGCTATTTAAACTACTTACATTTTAACATACTATTAAAAATATTCTTATTTAACTTTACTAAAAATTTATTTTACACCTGACATTTGCATTTTAATATATATACTATATTATTAGCTTGTTAGACTCTATTATTAATTGGGTTTTATAAAACAAGCTATGTAGAGCTAATCTAATATAAATGATAAATTACACTAAATCACAATTTCTGTATTTCTGTAGTATATATAGTTCACAGGTTTTTTGAACATATTAGCCAATCACATCTTTTTAATAAAATTATATATATTTCAAATGATTCTAGTAAATTATTTGGTTTTTAAAATAACCCAATGACAAGTTATTTGTTATTTGGATTATTTGGGTCATTTCAAGTTATTTACCATTATTGCTAAGCACTAAATTTGATTTATTTTTAATTTATTTTTCAAATTCAAATTTCAAAACAATAAAATACTAATAATATATACTTATAATATTTAATTAATTAAAAAATATAAATATAGTAGGCTTTAGATATAAAAAGAAAAAAAAAACAAATAGTATTAATGATAATATTTACAAAAAACAAAACTTAAACAAACAATAAAAAAAAATACTATATATTTAAAAAAAATGTCTTTAAAGATACAAAAAAAATATATATTTTTTGTTTTATACTCAAAGTATTATAAAAAAATCAGTTTAAACAAATATTAAATATTTATATATAAATCTACATGTAAATCACATTATATAATTTAACCAAACAGTAAGGGCTGTGACATATATTACGTAATATCATTTTATCAAGGGGGCTACCCCCCTCCCCCCCACGTCATATATGATCATATATAAAATATATATATAATATCATCTCTAGGTACCCCCCCCCAGGATATTACGTAATATCTGTCACTGCCCTTACTTACAATTGTATTTATATAGTTTAAAGTACTTTTTAAGAATCTAATATTACTATGCAAAATAATCTCACACCAGGATGTACTTTACTTAGAAGGTGAAATTTTTAAAACTATAACTATATGAAATTACTAGATCGTTAAATATAACTGGGTTATTGAAAGAAAACTAACCTTTTCAAAATAGGTAAAGTGATTTCTAAGTTAGAGTTTTAAAACATAAAGAATATTAATACATAAGAACAGAGTTAGTAATAGAAGTGTTTAAAAACTTTATATATGTATATATATAGGGCTTCAACGAGTCTAATTTGGGTATAATAATTATAGATCTTTGAATTTAGTATTAAAAGCATAATAAGCATTAAAAGCACATATATGTATAACCCAATTTTTTTTCTTATTTCTTCAAGTAAAAAGGATAGAGAATTTAAGTTTATAAATATAATATAATTTGATTAGTTGTTGTATAAATAACTAATAATAATATGTTATTCAATTTCATGTGATTAACCAATCATATCTTATATCTTTGCCGGGCCTATTCATAATATCTAGGCCCGGCCTGGTAGTTTATAAACCCAACCTGTACCCAGCCTAGTTTATTATTGGGCTTAAAAATTTGAGCCCAGGCCCAGCTCAGGCCCAACCCAACCCGCAAATTGTCAGGTTTAGCCCAGCCCATTGCACACCCTAGCAGTAAGTAAAATCACATAAAACATAAAATTGTATCATGTCAAGTGAAGTTTCCAGATTGGGATTAAAAAACAAAAAAAAAATTGTAAAATTGTAACACAATCTACCTATATATACGCCTAATTTTTCTGTGTACATAATACTCCTCGAACTATTGCATGACCTTATAGGCTTCAGATGAAATAATAGAATTCAATTTGTCAAACACACCTGATATTTCATTATACAGCAAAAACACGAGAGCAAGAATATGCCTTATTAGTAAACTAAAGGATTCGTCAGTATCATAACGTGAAGAAAGCCCACAATTTTGAACTTTATGATAAATGCTTTGAGTTAGATGAAAGTGGCACTCCTTACTTTGAACATCATCGAACTCTAATTGAACAGCATTTATAGCAGCACTCTCAAAATCTGTTAAGACTATTTGAGGCTATAAATCAATATTATGCTCTTCTCCAAAATCTATTAGTTTTTGAAATAATCTTCTATATGATTCTTCTGACTTATTAGTTATTAAACAAAATACTAGAGGCATAACTCTAGAATTATCTC